ATTTCAATCTTGAGTCAAATTAGGCATAAAACAAATCAAAGTTGCAGTCACTCTTCAGAAGGGAAGATAGTGACTTCTTTTAATCCTGAGATGTAAAAGACAGAGGCTAGATTTAGCATATGAGGTGAAAGCAGGAAAAACTAAAGGGAAAGACTAGGAGGTTGAACACAAAGGGGTTAGAAATGTAAAAGGAAGAATTCAGATCGTCTTAGATAAATATCTGTGTTACCATTTTGCCAACACAGACACTTCACATGGCTTTGGCTTACCCATCTGTTCATTGGAACATTTTTTTTTTTAAATAAATGAAGCAGGATATTAATTATGTTTATAATTTTGTGACTTTCAAAAAGTTCACTAAAGTAAACATTTTCCCTAATTCAGCTGAAAACCACAGATTCATTTCACTGATGAAAGAATCAAGCCCAAGGTTGAGAATAATAATTAAAAAAAATTTAATATAAGAGCCAGAAGGTGGCATGGTGGTTGAGGTGCTGGACTCCCACATGGCCAACTGTGGTTCAAGGCCTGGACTTGGCAGGTTGAAACTCATGCTGGGTACATGTGTATGCATGCCTAAAATCCAAGGAGGAGAAAGGAGAAGGGGGGGATTGTCTTGTGGCTACCCGACCTGGGGGGTTGATTTCTTACTTTTCCTTTCACTGTAGTTCTCTGTCTCTCCAGTGAGTGCAAGCACCCAGTGGCAAAAACCTTAATTATTTTTTTTTTACTATAGAGTACTTGCACTCACCAGAGAGACAGATGAGAGAGAGAGAAAGAGAGAGAAATAAGTGAGAAAGCACCCCCCTCCCAAGGGGGGAATGGCCACATCACAGTCCCTTCTCCTTCATTATCGTCTTGGAATTTTGGGCACACGTGCATATGCACCTGGCATGTTTCTCAAGCTGCTGAGCCTGGGACTCAAACCAGCCATGTGAGATCCAGCTGCCTGAACCACCATGCCACTGGCTGACCCAAGAACAATTTTAGTGGAGATAATATCTTAGTTAAAAGACCTTGCCCAAAGGTTCAGCTATTTAATAGGTTTATATAAAATGATGCTTTTGATATATGACAAAGTGTCTTTCTCACACCAGTTGCTTTAAGATATTTTTGGAATGAAGAAACAAATGAAGGATGTGTTTGAAAGGCCAGTGTGGACAAGGTGACTGTAAGACACCAGGAGCTAAGAGCTAATATTTAGATCCTAGATGCAGGAGAGAGGAATCTAAAATGGGGAGAAAGATATAAGCCCTGGAAGCAGGATGAATCAAAGAAAAACTTCATCTGCTTAAAGTTATTCTCAGAGCTGTCCTCTCCTGTGTTCCCTTTACACTCTTCATAGCGACTCAGTGGTGACTAGATCTGAGGGTGGATTTAATAATAGAATAAATATACTCAGATTCCCCTAATTGAAGTTCTGGGAAGGCTGGGAAATAAATGACTCCACCAGTCCAACATCTATCTCTGATATCCTCATTTCACTCCAGGTGTCAGCTTTCTGCAATCTTTTGGTATCCTAAAGCACGAGAGGATTTATGCCTGGGCTGTAAGTTGTCACTGTCCTCCGTGCTGAGCACTGAGTGAATAAAAGCCTTTCTGAGAAGATTTCCAAGATGTCTGGTGCAAGTGCATCATTTGAGAAGACAGACAGCAGACCATTAAAGGGGAGATTGTCTGCCAATGGGTAGAAAGTGCCCATTTCTAGCTCAGAGATGAAGGATGAGCGGAGTGGGAGTCTCAGGCATCAGAATGAATGGAATGGATCATAAAGTTGTAGGAGATGGAGGTGAGGGATGAAAAGGAGCAGCAGAAGAGTGAAAATATACACAGAACTTCACAGGTAGAAAAATAGGGGAATATCAGAAAATCGGGAAATTAATTACCATTCTCATGTCTTTTCTTGGAGGAGGCAGCTGCACACGGTCTGTCTTTCCCATCACTGATAGACACATCATAGATAAGGTCTCTCCCTAAGAGAACCCCTGTCACAGGAGTCTGACTCTTCAGGGTAGACAGTGTTTTCTCTTTAATGTCAACAAGCAAGGGACATCAGCATCTTCAAACTCTGGTAGCACAGGCTGTGTCACAGGATTGGGATCTTTCTTGTGACTACCTTAACCTAGAGAGGAATCATTCTGCAATGCAGGACACTGTAGAAGGTCATATTTGGAACAACAGGCATATATTTCTTTAAAATCTTCCCACATGATCTCAGCTGCAGTAATATGCTGTCTCCTCATTTATTTCTTCTACGTTTGTGAAAAGTCCTCTACAAGCATTTCTTAAAGGCAGAACTCTGCAGTTGAACCAATCAAAAGGCTGTCTGGGCTTAGGCAGGCACTGGCTGCCCAGGGAATCTGGGCCAATGCGCTGAATTCCCTGAGGTCTCAGCCTGAGGCTGAGCTCTGGACTCACTAACCACACACTTTCCAGTAAACCAGAAAGTTAGACTTACTTAGAGGCACAGAGGAATCTTTTTAGGGCAGTTTTTGAAGTTTCTGATTTAAATTATTTAAGTCTAGGAGAGAGAGCTCTTCCTATGCTTGTAGAGGCTGAAAAAAAGGAGATAAGAAAGGAATTTTAAAAAATATTAACTTGCTGGTAATGAGATATTTTTGTCATGCTCTTTAGGAATTCTCAGAGACTCTGGGTTATGACATGTTAATGAGCTTCAAATAATTTTCTAGTGTAGATAAAAGTTTTGATTTCTGCAACAGGACTGTTCATTATATTGATGAAATGAGAGGAGATAATCCTACCATGTCAAAAATTGGGGGCCTTGATTTTATACTTTCTGCATTCCAAACATACAATGAATTTTTAAAGAATTTGTCAGGGAGATATTAATTCAAACATGTAATAAATTAAGTCCTGCTATAGGCTATTAAAATACTTGGTCTAGCACAACACCTATAATCCCAGCTACTCAAGAGGCTGAGGCAGGAGGATCATGAGATTGAAGCCAGCAAGATAGTGAGAACCTATGTCTAGGAAAAAAAAAGGAAAATGTCTGAGGTGATCATTTTTTTTTTTAAATCATAGGGCATGGAGAGAGAGAGAGAGAGAGAGAGAGAGAGAGAGAGAGAGAGAGAGAGAGAGGAAAGAGAAAGAGGGAGAGAGAGATAAAGTGAGAAATTACCTCCAGGGGGATGGCCATGCCATAATACCTTCTTGAGCATTCTCCTTTTGAGATTTTGGGCACACATGCACACTTGCCTGGCATGTCTTTCAAGTCACTGGATTGGAGGCTCCAATCATGCAGTTGGCCATGTGGGATCCAGTCACCTTAACCACCACCTCAGTGGCTGGTTCAATATGTTTTATCTTTTCTCAGAGATAGGTCAGTTACGATGACAACATTTTAGTGAAATTTTCATATAAGTAATAATACAGAGGACATACCTCCATTACCTCACTCAAAACATGTATTATCAGTAAAATCCATTGATTCAATATGTGCACATTGTGAAGTGTGTGCTAGGTACTGTTAATCGATAGGTTTCAAGATAACTAATATGTGTTCTTCCACATCTGTTTAAGCCCTTCTAGGAGAAATAGGCATTATTTTTGAAATAATGTCTTTCAAGAGAAGTTAAATCCTGTCTAAAATGACTGCCCAATTGCATGTTAGAGGACAGATGTTTGGGGCCAGCAGGTGGTCAGGTGATTAAGGCACTGGACTCCCACAAAGCCGACCATGGCTCAAGTTCTGGACTCAGTGGCTTGAAAATCATGCAGACACGTGCATGCTTGCCCAAAATGCAAAAATGGAGGAAAGAAGATTCAGAGTGGCTAGCCTCTCTGGGAAGTGATTTTTCATGTTCCCTCTCACTGTCTCTCTCTGTCTCTCTGGTTTTTGCCCTCTTGCAAAAACCTTAAACACACACACACACACACACACACACACACACACACACACAAAGAAATTAGATGCTTAAGTTCTAGTAACTGAATATTTCTACTTGGATTAAAGTCTATTTTGTTTGATTTTCATGTTGTTTGGAAAAAGTTATTTGTTATCTGGCACTTTGTCTGTAAAATATGAGGTATAAAAAGGCAAGAGACTGGGCCTGCTAGTCTGGGATGTAGTGATTAGGGCAGCTGGATCCTTCTTGGCCGACTGAGCAGTTAGACTCAGTGGCTTAAAAAACAGGTGAGGCACGTGTGTGTACATGCCCAAAATCCTGAAAGGAGGGAGAAATGGTGCAGAAAGTATTGTGGTGTGACCATTCCCTGTGTGGGTGGGTGCTCTCTCACTTTCCTTCTCTCTTCTCTTTTTCTCTCTCTGAAAATTAAAAAAAAATAAAAAAGGCAAGAGCCTTCAACAAGTATGACAATATGGAACTTAAAGTTGTTTGGTGAGGGGTAGGAGCAATCTTGCTGTTGTTGCTGAGGAAATGGATGATTGGGCAGTAGCTGTTCATGTAGTCTTATAGAGAGTAGAGGAAGATTACTTTCTCTCAATCTCCCAGTTAAGCTAGGCCAATTCTTTATCACTTCCACTTATTTATGTTTTTATGCAAGATTAAAAAATATTTTATTGCTTATTATCCCTTTAAAAAGAAATGTTTATTTAATTTTATTTATTTATTTATTTATTTATTATTTTTTAAAATTTTATTTATTCATTCATTTATTTAAATTTGACCGGGGAGACAGAGAGATAGAGAGAGAGAGGGAAAGTAAAGTGAGAAGGCAAGCCACCAGGTTCGGGCCTTGAACCATAGTCGGCCCTATGGGGGTGTCCAGTGCCTTAACCACTATACCACCTGCTGGTCTCTTGCTTATTATCTTTGTAAGAAGGGAATGTATGGTATGAAATAACAAAAGGAAGTAGGAAGTATGAGTGATGAAGTGAAGTCAATGAAGACATATGATACTAGCATCAAATAGACTGATAAGGTAGAAAGCATATACTGGACCTAGAGGAACAACTAAAATAATAATGAAAAGAGAGATGGGTAACTGGTCACTTGAAGAAATAATGAATTTCCCATAAAATAACCTTGGTAGATTTCATAAAGTAGGTGGCAACTACTTAACTCTAAGTGTCTTGAAATAGTCCAAGGAGCTCTTTCATTCTTGTCAAGGAAAATATCAACCTTTCCCTCTTTTCTTAAAGACAGATTTAAAAAAACGTGTTCAGGGCTAAAGTATGTTTGTGAATATCTTATCTGACCCAGTCTTTTAAAAAAGTTAAATGAGGCAATGAAAATGAAGATGATATCATTAGTTGTAAAGCATGTCATGCGTGCAATACATTTTTCTGATAATCACAATTTAATTTATGCCACCAGCCAAGTGCAATGAGAAGACTATGAGTCTTTTACATTGATTAGTGTGAAATGTGCATGGGGATGACATAACAGAGGTAGATTTTATGGAATACTTGGTTTATAATAGATATTTTAGTAAATATCTAAGCTTTGAAAGTATGCATTAGTGTGTGTGTGTGTGTGTGTGTGTGTGTGTGTATTGCACTGGAGATAGATGTATAGCATCTAGGAGGATGAGGAGGTGTATGATCAGGAGGTTAGTTTGGGCTACAGATACAAATCAGGGAGCTAGAACCTTATGAGTGGTCATTGAAACTATGGAGGTAAACAAAATAATGCCAGGCAAAAATGCAAGGCAGAAAGAGAATCCCAGAGCCAGAAAGATAGGGAATAGCATCATTTAAGGAGGTTGTAGATGAAGTAAAAACTGCAAATAGACTGACAGAGTGGCTTTAGATCAAGGGAGAACCCAGGAAATGTAAAAATCAGAATTTCAAGAGAAAGAACGTACTATTGGTAGTACCAAACTGCCTCAGTCACAGAAGACAAGGACCACAGGAACTAGAGGCACAGTGCAGGGGCCCTCCTTTAAGAGTCAGTTCATCGCTTTGGCTAAGTTTCCTGTGAGGTTGGTCACCCAGATGGTATTACGTATTGTCCTCTGAACTCTGGTAGTAAGACTGCACAGTCTGAAATTGCATCATACTATTGGTGTTTATGTATCTGTCATTTCCCATAGACAGTGTGCCTGAAGACGAAGGCTGTGTCTTTATTTATCTTTTACCTCCACAGGGACTGGGGAGTGAATGAGTATTTTATGAATGGATGAATATGACTTTTTAATACAGGAGAAAGAGAAGGCAGAGGGCAACTTTTCTGAGGGAAGATTACTATTTTATTTCACTTTTTTATGTGGGGGAGGAGGAGAAAACAGAGAGGGGAGAAGAAAAAGAGAAGGGAAAGACAAAAAGAAAGAGAGGAAAGAGAGAGTGAGAGGGAGGGAGAGATTTTTGTCAGGTTCTTACCATGTGGCTATCTTTCTGCCCTAGCTTCCAAATTGACTAGGATTACAAGCATGTGCAACTATGTCCGGTGTGTTCAGATCGGGCTCAGAACCAAACCTAGGTCTTCCGTGCAGTTTCCAGCCTCCCAGGTGGTGGCACTACCTGTATATCACTGAGCCTGGGCTGTTATTTCATTTTTAAATATGAGTAAAAGGAGCACGATTAGAAAATGAACCAGTAAAACTGGGGAGGTTAAACATATAGAACAGAATAGGAAACACTGATGTAGCCAGGTTTGTGAGGAGGTGGTAAGTATTTACACAAACCAAATACATACACATACGCAGATACATCAAATGGGTAGAGAATGCCTTTGTTCCCCTCACAGAGTTTTCACTGACACTGAAGGAAAGTGTTAAAGTTATACGCAGATAAAGATTTTGGACATGGAGGAAAATGATTAAGAGAGTCTCTGACAAGTGTATAGGAAGACCATCTGCTGGGGTCTCCTTGTTAAGTTCAAGAAAGACATACTCTGGTTTCTCTTCAGATTGTGTAAATCTTTCACCTTTTACTAAAGTCCAAGAAGGACAATGATAGTGCTGAGGGTCATGTTATATTTGAAGCATAAGCCCAGTTTCCACGATGGTTATGTCCTGAACACAGAAATGGAGAAAGTAGGTGGGCTTGTGAATGCAAAGAAAGGAAACGTGAAACTGGGACACAGACATCAGAGTTGCTGAAATAATGTATCATGGATCTGGACAGAAAGAAGTGAATGAAACTCTGATGGATTGATAGAGTGACTAAAGGGAGGGAATGTGAAACTGAAAAATTAAAAAAGTCACAGTAGGGGACCAGTAGGTGATGTGGTAGCCAACTGCAGTTCGAGTCCTGGACGTGGCAGCTTGAAACTCATGCCAGGTATGTGTGTTTGCATGCCCCAAATCTCAAGAGCAGACTGGAGGAGAGGGGACTGAGGCATGGCCGTCCTTCCTGGGAGGTGATTTCTCATGTTCCATCTCACTGTCTCTTGTCAATAAGTGCAGGCGTTGTATAGCAAAAACCTGAAAACTTCCAGTTTTAGTGCAGGTGAAAAAGTGAGATTCTGAAAAGAGAGAAGATTATAATCTAAGACTGAAGATAACAATGGGTGTGCTATTCAGATAAGATGACTGATCAGATTTTTCAGGTCACCATATCAGCACAATGACAAAATCAAGTTGAGGTATAGTAGATGGATTTAAAACATTACGTAAATCTAAGACTGGGTTTTTGGATGATTCACCCACATAAATGTTGAAGTTTCCTATTATGACAATCAGGAAGTGAGATTGGCAGGAAGATGTGACCTCACATTCAAATGTGATTGAAGAATGAAGCCATGGGAGAAATGAGCAATGGAGTCAAAAAGGGGCAAGATTTAGTGGTGACCTCCCAATCTCTGGGCCAATGTGTCCCAACTACAGTAGAATAATATCCATCCTCTGAAGGGCCCATCACTTATGTACAGACAAGCACAGGATCAAGTCCCCTGCCCACAGTGCTTAGTCTATGAGTGGATATTGGATCTAAGCAGACTAATCTAAAGTGCTTCTCTGATAGCTTTTCTGCTTGAACCTCTTAATCCTCCATCTTTGATTTCTTTTACATTGCCTTCTCTCTCTCACTATAAATATCACCCTGTCTCTTACTTATTAAAAAAAAAATAGCTTCTTTCCTCTTTCATTCTAAAATTTTTTTTTGAGATTTTTGTCAGAGGGTACATGTACCAGAGAGACAGAGAGACAGAAAGTGAGAAATCATCTTCTAGGGGGATGGCCATGCTGCAATCCTTTCTCCATTCTCCTCTTGGGATTTTGGGCACACACACACATGTGCCTGGTGTAAGTTTCAAGCTGCCAAGTCTGGGTCTCAAATTGCGGTTGATGACACTGAAGTCCAGTGCCTTAACTACTATGCAACCCTCTGGCTCCTCATTCTCTAATTCTAAATTCATTGACAGCACTGTTTGTACCACCTGCTTTATTGTCTTCCTATTTTCTCAATACCCTGAAGTTTGGCTCCACTCTACCACCACTGCCAGTGATACTGTTTTTGCACTTATGTAAGAAGAATACTTCCTAGCACAAGGAACCAGTCAGCAGATGTAGACAGTCCAAGGTTAAATTGGCCCAAACCAATTCACCTCAAAACAAATCACTGAATAGACCACTCACATAAACATGTATTAGCCTAAAATTTCTACTATGACCATATTTAGATTTCACATATGATTGGTGTGTTCAATCCCTCTGAAGACTTTGTTGATTTAAATGATATTTTTCTATTATTAAACCTTTGAACATTCTTACATTTAACTCTCTTAAGCACATTCCTGAAATCGTACAAATAGACAATTATGATTGCAAATGTGAACAGAAAATAATCTAGAGAACATCTTTTTGTAATTAGGGAAACAAAAATGACAGTGCTTCTGAACTTTTTCCTTTGCATGACAGAATGAATGTAAAAAAGCAAAAGGTAAGAGAATTGAAAGGAGACTGAAGAGTAACCTGAAGTCCTCCTTCTCAAATACAAAAACAAACAATGTGAGCATACTCTAGTCAGCTTTTTGATTTCAAGGGATAACCCTTACTCAAGTAATGGAAAATTTATTATAACAATAAATGTAAATAGGATCCTAGAAAAAGACAAACACAAAATTCCACCAAACAAGAGGTATTGTAAATCTGGGATACAGGAAGAATATTAGAGCTGGACCATGTCATCATTATTTAGACATCTCTTCATGAAAATGACTCACTTTTTGAGGATTTCCAAGTAAAACATTATCCCAAGACTTGGAGTTTAAATTCTAGAGAAGCTGAATATGTTTGACTTAGACTGTAATATATTTGTTTAATTTTAGCAAGACTCCATCTTGACTGTTGGATAACCCATCCAATCCTTATATTCATTAACTCACTTGAGTTTTATAGTTTGTATACTTTATATATTTAAGAATTTATAGATGTATACATTTTTTTCTGCAGTCAGGAAAAGAGATACAAAACCGCCAGAAAGACAGAGAGAGACAGAGAGACGGAAAGCAAGAAATCACCCCCTGGGGGGATAGCCACGCCGCAATCCCTTCTCCTCCATTCTCCTCTCAGGATCTTGGGCATGCATGCACACGTGCCCAGAGTGAGTTTAAGCCACCGGGTCCAGGACTCGAATCGCGGTCGACTACGTGGGAGTCCAGCGACATAGCCATTATGCTAACTTCTGGTCCCAATGTATACATTGTTTTGAGGTAACATAGATAAGATCACACTAGTCTTGTTATATGCCACTTGGAAAATAATTAATATTTTTCTAGTTTACTGTTTTTAAAGAAATTTACTTATTCTGTCAGTCAGTAAGACGAAGAGACAGAGATACAACAACTCTAACAGGGCCCTGATGCTACAATCTACCCTGATTCAGCCAGTTCCAGATCATGGGCACAAGTATGCCTTGCACACTCAGAGAGGTCTTTGGATGTGAATTGTCAACCCTTGCATGTGGGTCAGTCTTGCATAGAGTCATGCTTCATCACTGCACTATCATCCACCTTTCTGACTTGATAGCTATCTACCTATCTATCATTTATCTATCTATCTATCTATCTGTCTATCTATATCTATCTATCTATAATCTATCTATCTCTATCGTATCTATCTATCGTATCTATCAATAGCTATAGGGTGCATGTACTCATCAGAGAGAGAGAGAGCTTTCAATATTTTGGTTAACCATCTGGTTGACAGACCATAATGACAGTTGGAATTATCAATAGAGGTATTGTGACACCTGGTGACAG